TAGAATATGCATGTTTTAAAAGTGACCTTACTTTATAAAAAGTGATCGTAGTATTGAATAAAAAAATCTGTCGTTTTGTTGCGCGTGTACAAACAAGCTTAGGCTTTGCGTGCCAAACAAAAAATACTTAATTCAAAGAAAAAAAAATTTTTGTAACTTTAAATATATGTGTATTTTCAAATAGTTTCATATCTAGGATGTTGTTGGCATATGGCCGAAGTAAGAGTCATTTTGTAATTACTATATATAACGAAAACAATAAAATTATGTAATTTATGTAAGAATAATAAAAATTGTTACGCTTTCTAAATGTAACTTGCGCAATATCATTTCTATTTAGTAGTCGTAGTGTGTTAAGCCAGATAATTTTGGATAATGATTATATGCTAAGTTTAAAATAATCTTACCACATCTTTGTCTTTTCTGTTAAGTTATTCAATAGGAGCCCGAAAATGTTGAAATCCAGGACTGCATGTCTAACAAAGTCCTAATCTTTTACACGTTGTCCTAAATCTGATACAAGTACTTTCAGGACACTTGTTTACTATGAAATTTATAATTGATATCTTTACAATTACGATAATTCAATATATATATTGAAATCGTCACGTTCGTCAAAATAGCAGTGATGTGCTATTAGACATGATCGTGGAACATCACGTATTGGTATGCGAGTCGCGTCCGAACCGCGCGTGTGTTGACGGTTATTATGCGCGCATCGTCGGGCGAAAGTTCATGCGATGCCTAGACGAATGAAGTGCAGGTGCCACAATCATTCACATTCGATACAAATGCAAAATATTTGTTTTTTACTTTCGTTGGTTTTTACCAAAAATGTCCTAAGAAATGGGATTATTACCACAATTGGCAATATAAAGGTATGGGAAGTTCAGCACAATTGTTGTAATAATACCATTTCATACTAACTTTACATTAGATGCAATTTTTTTTTCACTCATTGTTGTTTTTCTATTTAAGTAGATAGCTCTAGACAGACAAAAAAACATGAAAAAAAATCTGTAAACGAACATTGAAATATTGTGCTACGTAGTGTCTCGGGTCAAAAAGGCAAGGCTATTTTGTGTTATTTGTGACCCGCTTAATGGTTTTAGTTTAAAGCTTACCTTACTAAATGTAATTATAATCTCCTTAGAATGTTTAAAAAAATATATGTTGACCATTTTCTATAAAGATTCGTATAAATTTCAATTTAACCTTGGGACGTTTTTTTGTGCATTACCTTTTTGGACGATTACATCGTTGCGATCAATATTCTATAAAAAGAGGTGGCCTCGAACAAATCATAGTACATAGAATAAATACATAATCATCTGTGGAATATTCTTATGTATACATAATCATCTATTTGGTTTGTTAAAGTTATTTACGTGTTATTTATCCGTGTATTTTAATAGTTATGTAAGCACGGATAGTGATCTACAGGTAATTTAAACAGTTCTTTGTAATACGGAGATAAAATCTATACTTTTGGAGAAAGATTATAGTTAAAATAATCGTTCATAAGAATAAGCTACATAATTCGCAGTTATTTTAAGTTAAAGCCTAATTTATCTCTCACTTCCAATTAATTTAATGTCCGATTGAAATTCCTTTAATTTAAATGAAGTATGTAAAAAAAATAATTGAATGAAGGACAAGTTGACGAAGAATATCTGTAAGTGACAAGTATACTGAGAGGTAAATGACCGATTTAAAGGAACCGATAGCTCAGTCGTCAAGGTAGGTTCGCGGAATGGAATCCTGTTTTCAAAAGCAGTTTCACGAAAATACGAAAGTTATATACTGACTGTAGATGTTTGAACAATCGTGCAAGATTTTTATTTTATTACGACAAAGGCAATCAAGGTTTCCACTTGACATTACCTTAACCTTTTTTAATTTAAGAAATAAATTTCATAAAGGTATTGAAATAACGTTGTATTATAAATCTAAGTGTCATTTAAAATTAATGATGGCACTAAACAATGATTAGTTGAGCCCTTTATATCTTACTAATATTATTAATGTGAATGTTTGGATGGATATTTGTTTGAAGGTATGTCCGGAACAGCTGTATGCATATCGCTGAAATTTGGTATAGATGTAGAACATAGTCTTGAATAACACTTAGGCTTAATTAAGATTAATTATTAATTATTAATTAAGATTTGTTATTAATTCCACGCAGACAAAGTCGCGAGCAACAGCTAATTATAAAATAATTTATGAGGCTTTTTTTTGTAAAAAATAAACGTTTATGTTTATCAGGCATACATGTCGTGTATAAACTAGCGCGATTTTATGTCGTATGTAACGTGATATCGTTGCGTAAGTAGCGATATTGTTGATGTTGCCTTCAACTTGAATTAATCGTTCTTTTACTTGTTAATATATACATCGATAAATCTTAGGCCGGAGACACACTGTACGATATATTTTATATTTCATTAATATCTTCACTTTCATCTCATAATTTTTTCTTATGGCGCACCATTTTTATTGCCAAAAAACCTGTAAAGACATATTATTACAACTGTTTTTTTTTTAATAAAATGCGAGGACCATGATCGCTAAAAACATTTTACCTACCTTTTGGGGTATGCTAGCGGTCCATGTATGGTAGCCTAACTTGAACAAAATCTCAACTGTCATATCGAATGTCAAATATTAACTCTACACATGTTTATCTCATAATTATCATATTAGTTAGTCAGCATATATATGTAGAACTGATCCAGTTTACTGTGGTTATACTAATAACAAACGAGTTCTATGAATTTATTATTAAGTTTGTATGCTTAATAATTTGTTAATTTTAAGGCAAAATATAGTAACAAAATAGTGTGACAATACTAATTAAATGACGCTGTTCACGTATACATTCAAATGTTTTTTTCTTTACGCACAGTCATCAGTTACGTGTATATGTCCGCCTTGTGTACAATAGGCCAGCATCATTATTAGATATTTACATTTCACGAACATGCGTCACTTCGATCCATCAATAAACATGATGTGCGAACTTGCTGATATCGCTACTCTTCACATTACAATATTGTGTAAATAAAATGTTAGGTTTTATTTGATTTATTATTTTACAAATTTTTCTCTATATAATGCTGGTTACACATCTTTACTTTTAATTACACATTACTTAAAAAAAAACACTATTTAAAACCGAAGGTGTGTGGCTGGTTTAGAAGCTTGTATTGTGTTAAAAAATGTGACTGTAAGTTTCGGCTGTATTGACATATCGCACATTCAACTTGTAAAAACAGATTACTTATGTCAATACAAGTGGTCACGGTTAGTTGAAGCACAGAAAGGTGACAGCTATGCTCTAGAATTGTACTGCATATTTCTATTTTTTAATATATAATCTTACTTTAATTTCAATAAAGGCGCAATGCAATTACCAAATGTCATAATATGGATATAAAAGGCTATATTGGTACGCCCTTTATTCGTACACTTACACTCATTCATCATTCACTGCTACCACGTTACCTTCTCATTCGGCCCAATTACTGTTGTCCAATTTATACGTTCTGTGTTAATTCTTTAAAAAAAAAGAAGGTTGATAAAAGTTTTTAAAAATATTTAATTATGTTCCATTGTA